AAGCAAATATGAGGGCTGCAGGTGTTTCACAGGGCTGTTGGCTTTGCTTGCCAGGTAGTTGAAATTAAGCAGTATTTGGTTCAGCTGGCTGTATAGCGTATGTTGCCTCAGGAAGGGGCAGAGCAAAGACAGTTGAGGTACTCTATTAGTAAAGCTTGCAGAAATCATAAACATTGGAGAAGTAAGTGTTCTACAGGAACACTAGGGAAGAGCTGTATGGCAGATCTCTTGCGGCAGACGTTGCCACAAAGAAGAGGTATGTGGATTTGGGCTTTTTAGTCTGATTCTGAAATAAGATAACTTGATGATGAACTGATGTCTTCAGTAGCCCTGCGTGCTCTTTTCAGTTGTGTATGATTTGATTCTGTATAGTGTCCACCTGTTTTGTATATTTTTGTGTTGTTTGCAGTATTTGTATTAGATGCAGAGTAGTCAGGTGAGGTGGTGATATATATTTGCATCTGCACGTTCCAGAAGATGTGGGAGGAAACAGATATGTTGTAGAAAACTGAATGTGTCTCATAACTCTCTTTAACCTCCTTTTTGTGCACCTCTCAGCACAGAGTCTGAGGCAGAATCACAAATGCCTTGCTGTTTATAAAGATCTGGGCTGCAGATGTGCTCTTTTCAGGAGTCTTCAGTTCATGGCAGACAGTCCTTCGTAAAGTCATGCTGTTACTGAAGAGCAAAGGAGGAGAGGGGAAAAAAGGAATTTTAAAGTACTAGACACATAGGTATATGTCTAGGGTTTTTTAGCAGCTTTTGGTGGTGGCCTGAGCAGAAACCATTTCCCTAGAGTTTTCTGGTTTCTCTCTCTTTCTTTGGTCACACTCTGGAAAATTACTTTGGTGTCTCTTGCAAGAGAAGACTGTATTAATAGTCTTCAAGGTATGCTCTGTCTCCAAATTGTATGGTATATTCTAAGCCCCTGTGATCCTGCCCTGAACCATCATGTATCTGTAATCCCATTGGTCCAAGTGTTATTCTGCGCCCACTTTGAACTCCCCTCTTAAGATGTGCTAGCAAAATCAGACCCTCTCTTAGCCCTTCTCCCCTCTTGGCCCTTCCATCCCCTAGGCTCTCCTCTCCCCCTCCTTCCCCCTCCCTCTTCCTCCCTTCTCCCTCGCAAACCATGCTGTTCCCGGGGATGGGACGCCCAATAAACTCTCACCCTCAGAAGCCGTGTGGAGTCTCCTTGCCTGCCTGCTGCTGCCAGCCAACTCACAGCCTACGCGGCCCTCCGGGGACTCCCCGGGAGCCCCCCCTCCCCTAAACTAACTACAACAGATGTTGGTTCTTTATAAACAATAATTCTTTGGATTTTCTCTCACATCTGCTGTTTGTGAAGGATTCCCTCCAACCTTTTAGAGGAAGGTAATGGTGAAGGCATCTTGAAATTAATATGAGTGTACATTCATCTCAGGTGGTGCTATTGGGAAAGTAAAGAAGGTTCTTTGAATTTCTTAAAGCAGGAATCCAGGCTTAATTTCCTCCCTGGGAAATGAGAAACACACAAAAAGAAGTTTTCTGCAAACACTTCTACCTTTCAGGCAGTGGGTACAAGTACCCGCAAATACCTGCAAATTTCTTCTCTGAATAGGATTCTCTGGGCAGCATTCCCCTACCTTCACTGGAGGGTCACTTTTTCTGTCCCCAGAGTTGATGGCCTGATTCATTAGATAACTGTCTGTTTATCTCAAGAGATGTAGGGTCCTGTACACATAATTATTGATAGTTTGTATATTTAAGAAAGTACTGTATTGTGGTGTTGTGGATTAGCCACAGTAGGTGGGCAAGTCCTTCCTCTGACTACTCCTTCAGTCTCCAAACAATCGATGGGGCAAAGAACTCGAAGGGTAAAAGTGAGAAAATTCATAGATTGAGATAAAGACAGTTTTATAGGAGAAGTAAAAGCTGTGCACACCAACAAAGCAAAACAAGGAATTACAATACTCAGCTGTCCTCAGGAAAGCACAGTTTAATTGTGTGTAATGGCAACTTGGGAAGACAAACACCATCGTTCCAGACATTCCCTATTCTTTTCCAAGTTTTTATTGCTGAGTGTGTCATCATGTGGTTAGTTGACAGTCCTGGCTGTGTGCCCTCCCAGGTTCTTGTGCGCCCCTGCCTGCCTGCCTGCCTGCTGTCAGGGCAGCACATGGATGCAGGGGAAGCCCTTGACACTGTGTGAGAACTGCTCAGGAGTGTTAGTGATGCTGCTTTCAGCACAAATCCAAACCCTACAAGCTACTACAAAGAAAACTGACTCTCCCAGGGAAAACCAGAACAAGTACTCAAAGCTGTTGCTGCTGCAGATGATAGTTTTGATCTTTGTGTTTGGTTGATACACCATTATATTGTCAATATCACAGAGGATATGTTGAGGTTGTCCTGCCTCTTTCTCTTTTCACCATTTTGACATGGTTTTTTGGTTGTGTTAATATGGATATGCTTATGAAGGTAATTTTCAGCATTTCAAGGAAGTTAAACCAAAATCATTAAAATCTCAATGTATGGAGTTGGGTTGACTCTGCTTGGTGTAATGAGTTGCTGACGCATCCTGTTAATGCACATAGCTCCTAGTCATCTGTTGTTTGAACTTAAAGGGGTAAATAAAACTGGAAGGTGGTTGCTGTGCTACTGTATCAAACTTCAGAGCAGACTGCAGTCATGTATGTTATCAGCAAGTTCTACCACCATGTGGTAGCATACACAGATCTACTGAGATTCAGGACTTTAGGATCGTTGCCAGTTTCTTTGTATTCTAAGTAGTTACATCTGCCCTTCTAGCGTTTGTTAATCCCGTCCTGTGCATCTTTTCTCTGCCTTTTGCAGTGGTGTAGTGCATGCTCTGGACAGCTAGGTAAATTTTCTTGAAATTCTGCTAAGTCTTGGTAAGTCTGTGTTAAATGCATGAGAAATTTTAACTTTAATTTAAAGTTAAATTTAAATTTTAACTGCCATTTTAACTTCAGCAGAGCGAGAGAGGCTTCAAGGATATTTAATGGCAATAAGCACATACTACTAAGCGGGTTCTCTGATCCTAAATTTCTGATCTCTAACATAGAAATGCTGTCTTTAATATGGAGATGCTGTAGCTGCTCATTAACATCATCAAAACTGAGTATAAGATGCTGTCTCTGAACCTTCTTATACTAGAGGCAGACATTTTCAAAACCGTTCAGTTTGAAGCAGACTGGAAATAATAGCCTTTCAGAGCTGAAGTTGGGTAAACCAATAAGCACTTAAAAATACGGTCTTTTAAGTGAGGAAAAGTGAAGTACAGCCTTAATTGATGCAGTTGTTACTGGTGCAATCTGTAGTGCCCTAAAAGTGGGAAAAGATGAAATCTAATTAGAGAGAATATATTGCTAAGATAAGTTATTGGATTTTTTTTGCTTTATTGAGCCAATACTGATGAGGGACTCGAGGCAAACTGTCACCCAGTCATCTCTTTGAAGAAAAACTGGGTCTTAATCAGTCATCAGCCACATTATGCAGATCTGACCAACACTTGTTCTTAGCTTGCTTGGGATGTCAGTTTACAAAGAGTAGGACTCTCATTCTATTATATTTTAATAAAAATATATAATTAAGGAGTGCAGTATAAAGAAGTGTTCTGGTAACTCCTCCTCATATTGTGTCCAGCTAAGTCTGAAGGACTTGTGCTGTTTGAAGATGCATGTGTGTTTTCTTCTTATTTCTGTCTTGTTAATACTGCAGTAATCTATAACCTTTATTTGGAGTATTTGTAATAATGACTTAGCTTCAGGTATTGCTAATTTAGCAAAATCACATACTGTGGTTTTTGTCACACTTCTGTCTGCATTTGCACAATGAAGAATATTTTAATTATGTTGAAACCTGTGTATGTGTGCCATGTGTATGGATATAATGTGGTGTCATATGGTGTTAGTTTGATTTTAAAAATATGACTGTTATGCCATCAAAAGCTCTGTAGTCCAAACATCCAATACCACTTTACGGCCAAGAACATGAAATACATGTATGTTCTCTTATGTGTGCGTTTTTTAAAAATTAATTTATTGACTATTTGTTTCTGAGTCTACTAGTTTCTGTAATTACGTAAGCAGGCATATAATGAAAATGCAGCCTCATTGGCTCACGTGAAACCATGAAACCAGAATATTTCTGTGTCAAATTAGTTTTAAGTGTTGCTGGGGATGGAGTTAGAGGCACAGGATATGTATAAGATACTTTGTATCAGAATACCTACATTTTCATGCAAGTAAATATACATAAACTTATCTGCTGTAACTTTTTCTTCAGGTGAAATAGTAGCTTGTGCTTTAGGAACTATGCTTGCTGTGTGTATCTAGTTAAAAAAACCACAGAGGTGTTTTCAAAAGACTCATCCAAGTAATTGTATGAATAACATGTTTAAGCATAACAGTGCAATAACACATTTAAAGTCTGTATTTATTACAAGAAACTTGGAGGCATTAGGAACTATGTGAAGTCATCAATATATGCAGTTGAAGATCTGGGATTTGGAATTAATACCTAGAATAAACTGCAGTTTGAAATTAGTGGCTAGAATAAACTACAGTTCCTGCTTTTCCTCTGTGAAACCACTCAGAATTTCATAATTTTCCAGTGTTTGTTTTTGTATCATCAGTAGTGGATTTGGCACCTCTCTGTCAAAGAACAGAGATCCAACTCTCTCAAGTAATTTCTTCTCTTAGTTAATTAAACAAGTATCAGTGAGGGATTCAAAAAAATCCTGTATTCAAAGAAACAATGCATAACGTACTGTGTACTTGTTCCATCCTCATTATGATATCAAATCCTGCCTCCAGTGGCTGCTGAAACAATTTTTTACTTTGTCAAAAATAATTGTAAATTCTCTCTCTCAAAGCTAAATTCAGATTTATTTATTTTGTGCTTTTAGCTTTGCAGTTGAACTGTTACCTACTCAGGGGCAGGGTTTTCATCTAATAAAGGAAGAACAATGGTATCTATGACAGAGACAAGAATGGCAAAGATTCCTCGTCTCTGCATTGATTTATCTGATCAGGGGACGGGGTCTCATTTTCCAAGGTAAATCTGTTCAGATAGATTTTATGTTTCTTCCCTTGGCTAAGAACAAATATTTGAGGACCTGTATGTATTTTGTTAAGTGCATTAATTTACTTGTACCAAATTATGAATTTTCAAATGTTGTATAGGGAGAACCACTCAATTTCATATGGCTAGAGTAATTTTAATCTGGGCTATTACAAAACACTATCATTGTCATTTTTTAGCACTTTGAATGATTTTAACAGAAATTACTTTCTTTTCTATATGCTTTACTAGAATATGCTGGAATTTATTAGAATATACTGCTATGTAGAATATAGTGCTGCAAATGTACAAACAAGTTGGACAAGATTTTGTATTTGGTAGTCTTTTTTCAATGGACTGCTTGGAAGCATATGAGGAAAATATTTAATACCATCCATGTGTGGGAATCAACATTTGAATCACGAATATTTACATAATAATAATGATTAATGTTTACATTGACAACATTATAGGCTAGAAAATGCACAAAAAAATCTCAGTGGTTTTGCTGCTATTTTTGTAATTGCTTTTGTTATGAGTGGTGACTAAAAGGTTAGACAAAAGATGCACATTTTAACTGAAACATGTCATAATTTATGAAGTACACAGTATAAACAGACTTTTCCTTTCCAACTCCTTTGAAGTTGTGTCATTAAAGGACTCTTGTAGAGTGTGTTGCTGTTTCCCATCAGCTTTGTCTGAACAGCCTTTACCAAAGGAAGGTGTCAAAGTCTGCCATAGTTACAACTCGTAAAATCGATTATTGGACTTCCTAGACCCCCAGGTTTAAAAGACCAAATCACAACAATCCTTCAAACCCTCTCCTTAGTTAATAATTAACACCCCCTTAAATTGCTGTATTACTCCTTTAATAGACAAGAAAATGTTTAATAGGTTTTCTCTGTGTAGAATAGAAAAGTAGTCTTTATTATGCTAAATTTATTTTTTTTTCTGCTGTCTATAGAATGAACTACTGTTACTTAATAATTTTGGGGTTCTTTCTTGCAGGTCTAAGTGTTAGGGAGCCAGTAGTACAGTTGGCAAATCCTGTTACTGTTTTGACAAGTTACAATAGAGTTCATACAAGCTCATCAATGATAAAGTACATGAGGGAGAAGAATAAAACAAGTTGGTTATGACTGACAGATAAAACAAAGAACCAAAAAAAGATTAAGGGAATAAGAATTCAATGCACTGAAGTCTTTTTATTGAGAAGGAAAAAGCAGTTGTGATTTGGTAGTTCACTCCCTTGGTGTCAGACTCAAAATGAAAGAGTTTGTGCATTTGAATGTCTGGTTTGCCTTCTGTGCAGAAGGAGAAATTTGGAAATAGATTTTGTATGTAAAGTCTTGTCTTGAATACACTGAGATTTGTTCTGTAGCTGGACAAATGTAGCTTTATATTTTAATACATTTACAATACAAATACAGTTCAATACCAGTAATGTATTGTGGAAATCATAGTGGCTTAAAATTGTGTGCTTCATGGACCTTTATTAAACCAAAACTATGTAGTATAGTAATGACAACAAAGTGGAGTTAATCGAGGAAGAAAATCCATAAAAATTGTGGAAGTTCTGTTGATTGTCTTTTGTTTTTCTTGTATCTTCTGTTTTGGATTTGCAGGTGTTGCGCTTCTGTAAAAGGCTTACTGTTTACTGATGCTACGTTAGAATCATGAAAGAAGTAGTTTTGATTAGGTAGAAGTATTTTAGGATTAAGGAGAGGTATTTTCATTCTTGTGAACTTGAATCTTTAACCAAACTTGGTCAGACTTTGAGCTTATAATAATCAGATTTTTTTTTTTTTTGGTGGTGTAAACAGTAGCAGACAAGAGCTGTTGAAGGAGAAGTCAGTAAATTCATTAATTTCCAACTCTTGTTTTTCAGATCGTCCTTTGAATATTAATCTACATTTGCCTCAGTATTTCAAAGTTTGTTCATAATTTGGGTAAACGATGGCTCAGCTCCAGCAAGGAGGTCCAGATGAAAAAGAGAAGACCACTGCATTAAAGGGTATGAGTCTTTTTTGCCTTTTCTTTTACATATATTGACATTTCAGAAATTATTGTTTAGGAAAGGAAAATAATATGGTATAGTTATGAGTTAGAGCTTGGGAATTACAATACTAAAAGAGACTCTTAGTCCACCTGTGCTAATGCTTATGGTGTGTCCATTTATCAGTATTTTCATAAGATGGTATAAAACATAATGATATATGGTAAGGAGCAACAGAATAAACTATTCATAGTTTAAAATTTTCATAATTGTTCTTTTAGATATTGACTGGCTTTTCTGTTCTTAGTTTTCAGAAGGTTTGATTTAATTTGTGTGATGCTTTTGTTTTATAGTTATGCAACCATATTACAGCTTTTAAAAATCTCTTGGACTAGAATGCTAAAAGGGAAGAGGCTTTCAGGACATTGATATCCATATTGGTTTTGTAAAATTTCCTTTGTATGTTTTAAAAAATACACAGAGCTAAATGACTTAGGGGTAAAAATAATTTACATAAATGGCATGTTTTGATAGTGGCTTTCACTTTGGAAGTATATGAAGCTGGTTAGATCTACAAGTTAGTTAACCAAACATTGATTTGAAATGCTTGCATTGCACAGTTGTATTCTAAATTGTCTTTCAAAGGAGAAAAAATAACATAGCTTGCCACTCGAGTACATCCTGGATTTCTATCAAAGCATTATTAGAAAGCAGTGTTCCATTACATGTGATGATAGATGGTGTTTCTTCAGTTGCTGCTGAGTTTTTGTGAAGTATTTGGTGAAAACCTGTGTAGTGTTTTTATAAGACTTTGTGCCAATTCTGTCCATTTAGTATCTTTTGAGAAAGCTATAGTTCAGATTTGGAAGTAAAACTCCCAATTTTATACATGGCATTAATTTGATTATCTTCAAGGATTAGTGTTAATGATGTGATCGAGTGATTTTCCATTTAGCTAGAGAAGGTCTCCTGCAGATCACTTAGTTTTCAGTTCTGTTGAACTATCTCAAATTGAGTTGGAAAGTCCAAGACCTTAGGTAAGAATGGTAGATCAGATTTGGAAAGAATCCCAAAGTTGTAAGACATTTTAGATAAATTTAACTTGAAAAGTTGCACAAGAAGAAAGTGAACGTGTCAGTGGTTTCAACTCAGGTGCAGTTTTCCTTAGTGGCTGATGAAAGCTGTAAATCATGACAAGCTGTAGATAGTGTGAATAAGTATAATATACTTTGTATTCTATGGTCCTTGATACTCAGGAGACTGGTTTTTTTTTTTTGTTGTTGTTGTATAGTAAGTGACACTTCTGTGTAAATACATCTCAAAATAGATCATGGTAAGATGGTATGGAAATTCAAGTGAAACTAAATTCCAGGGATGCAGTGTGACCGGAGTCTCTTCACCAAGGAGAGAAAGATGTGCTAAAGACTGTTGCTGCCTTGATATTTGTCAATGTACAAAGGAAGAAAGGACACATTTTTTACATCCTGTTGTGGGAGTCTTCTTTGACAAAATTATTTTCTTTTTCTATATCATTTCGTTGAGAACCAAAGGAGCTTCTGCAGAACTTCCAAATGACAGTGCACAAGAACAATCACATAATTTTTTGCATGAATTGAATTTCATGGGACTTGCTGTTAAACAGATGTGATGTAAAAATGAGCTGTGGCTGAGAAAGACAGATTTAGAATCATCCAATCAGTATGTGGTGTTATATAGACATTTAGATACCACAGAGATACTGAGAAGCCATAGTACTTGTTGGAAAGATGCTGAATTTCAGCAACCATACCAGATGGCTTTTGGTCCTCCAGCTTTGCCCAGCGGAATCACTCAGAGTTGGCAACAATCTGGAATAAATGTAAATGCTGGAATAAATGTATAGTGAACTTGAAGAGTTGTAGAAGTGCAGGTCAAGGAACTCTCAAGAATGTTGAAGATAATTTTCAGTACATTTTAAACAGCAGAAATTTCAAAGTGTTGAATGTGTCAGTCCTAACCTTAGGTAATGTGGGTAGCCTACTGGCAACATGACCAAGCATATTACAGAATATAAACATAATTGTTTAAGTACTACAAAGATGGAAGCATAGTTAATGCCAAATGAAACTTAAAGAAAATTAGTATTTTCAGACTTTTTTTTTTTTTGAGCTACAGTACTGGATAATAATAAAGGTAAAAATCCATATACTTAGAACACTTAATGTATTTTCTTGGTAACACACAGTATCTTGATTTATTAAATAATTATAGTTCAAAGTCAGTTTAGCACTGCTGAACAGACTGTTTGTGTGGTCTTCAATTTCATCTAACAAAGAAGTAGGAAAATGTATTTTGGTGAAATCCTGCTGAATTATTTCTTGATTTTTTTTAATTAATAATCAGAAAATGTGTTAGAAGCGTAGCGCACTGCATTGTGTGGAGATGAGGAGAGGAGAGATCATTGTACCCTATTACCTGTGTATGCAGTAATTGGTAGTTAAATGCAGATGTAAAGATGTCCCCATAAGTTTGCCTCTGGTTAAATGTAAATCCTTAAATGTAGGGTAAAGAATGTAGATTATGCTAATTTTAGTGTACATGCACTAGTGACTGTATGTAGGCTGTATATAGGCTGTAGCCTACATACACAGAAAAGGATGTGTATGCCATGGCTTGCTATAAAGTGGATGGGAGTTTCTCTACCTTGAGAGCTATTAATGGGGGTGGTTGAGAGGAGGATTCAGGCCTAACAGTCTGGGTATCAAAGGAGGGGCTGACGGCTGGTGTGTTCACACATCTGGTAAATGCCAGTGAGATGATGTGCTCAGATAATCTGAACTCCTCAAGAAGGCAATCAAGACACTATCAATCATTTGAAACTGAAGCTAGAGAACTTTATGTTGAAACCATGGTGCGTACCTCAGAGACTTATTTTCTAACACTGAGGTAATGAATCATTGAAACAAATTGCTGTGTCTTTGGTGACTTCCCTTTCTCTGGACATTTTTAGATTAATATGGAAATAAATAGGTACGTAAATAAATAAGTAAATAAATGAGTATGTATACAGGCAAAAACGTCCAGCTTTTGAAATCTGAACAAGATTTCCCATAACAGTGTCCTGTGTTTAGTAATACTGGGATATTCTTCTGCCTGTAAGATCTACAAATATTAGCAGACACATTTTTTTAGTGTTACAAAGGAAATAAAAGAGACAGCATGCATTATGTATTTTTTTCTTTTACTTTTTTAGATTTATTGTCTAGAATAGACTTGGATGAACTAATGAAAAAAGATGAGCCACCACTTGAATTTCCTGATACTTTGGAAGGATTTGAGTACATTTTTAATGAAAGTAAGTTATATGTGCTTTGTAAAGACCATATGTAGAATAATGTTGAGCGGTTATCAGAAGTTGAATTATACCTTATAAGTCCCTATTAAAATTTCACACTTTCCTGTTAGGATTGAAATTTTAAACTTTAGTGTTGATAGACTTGTAAATCTAAGACCTGTTTTTTATTTCATACAATCATCACAAAAATCCCTCATTTCATACAATGTTGTGGAGTTGTATTGGGCCTATTTTATGACTTCCTGTTTTCTTTTGTAAAAGTGTTGATACAAAATTCTGAAAGTAATTTCTGTAGCATTTAAAATTCGATTTAAAGATTGGTCATTCATTTAAGGAATGTTTTATTTCCTGATTAATTTTTATGGCTACAGAAGAAGTTGTTTTTCAGATGGTAATTTGTCCCAGCTATGCCATTAATACCAACAGGAAAACACCTATGTGTGTTGATAGAAGAATAAGCAATGTGATAGACTGTCTCTTCTGGTGTGGAACATAATTTTGCATTGCAGCCAAGTGTGTGATGCCTGCAAGCAAGTACTTCCAGCTAGCTCAGTCTCTGTGTTAAATGACTTAGTATTTATAATTTCCAGTGCTTGCATTTTAAAATGCAGGTAAGAGATGAGCCTCTGAGCTAACGTAATACCAGACTGCAGGAAGTGACTCTTTCAAGACTGTTTAAAACCTGTAGAACAAATGGGAATGTTTACGATTTTACTTCTTTGCAGTGCCTGCTCTGTGAACAGAGGAACTTTAGTTTCTAAATCTGCCTGTTTTGCATCTTCCACTTTTAAAGGGAAAAAAGAAAAGAGCTTTCCTTTAAATGATAGTCATTTATGCAACACTTAGCTTTTTAATACCCTGATGGCTTTCACAGGTAGGTACTTAGAGACTAAAAGTGTCATGAAAGTGATGCTCTTTCTTTGATGGAAGGAGTTCAGCTCTGTCACTTTTCAGCTCCTTATTTTTAGATCTGCACAGCGTCTACTGTCTTCCTTACTGACTTCAGAGTTAATAGTTCATATGTGGCTGATAAAAAGGGCTGAAATTTGAATTTTGGGGAATGAATTATGTTACTGAATATTCCATTACTAAACCTCACAGCCTGAGTGATTTCTTTAGAATGGAGGAAAACCTATTACATATGCTAAGGGTCAGCAAAGCAAAAAAGTCACCATTTTGCTTTTGTACATTTAATTCAAATGTTTAGTCGTGTATTTTTGTGTCTTAATCTTACTTCTTTTTATGGTGGAAAAGTACAGAAGTTTGTTAGATTATTTAAATCTGAATAAGGCAGGGGTTCCACAAAGTCAGAGGAATATCAGCAGATATTTGTTACTTGTGGTGAGAGCCAGTTCATGTGCTGTTGAATGGCATATTTGAAGAGTATGTATCTGAGAAGGAGCAGCTGAAAGTAAAGGTAATATGAAAAATGTGAGAAGGAGGATGCTTGAACCCAACATTGGGATAGGAAACTGGAGAACTACTTCCATAGTATCTAGTACATGAGGTAAGGCAGGTCTAGAAAAAAAGTTAAATGAGCAGATAAGCATAACTATTATAGACACCAGATCTTAAATATTTTATTTAGAGCATCAGGAAATAAAGTTTAAAAGTTCTGTAAATACATCAACCAAGCGTTTTTTTTCTATTCAAGAGGAAACATTACAGAGAAACCTTTGTTTCAGCATTCAAAGTTTACTTGCACATATGACTGTTTTTAGTGTTTCACTTATATACTGCAGTTTTCTAATGCTCTGAGATCATCACTTGTGTTTTTTCTGATAGGCTGAAACATTGTTGGTAAAATATTTGTTCTTGTAGTTTGCTTTCTACTGGTTGCTATTTTATTATTATCATTGTTTTAACACAGCCTGTGTGTTCACAAGTGGTCGGATTTGCTGTTAACTTTGGCTATAAACAAGGCCAACTACAGGAAGTTAAGATGAGAGCAAAAGTAGCATGTGGTTTTGCTCTAAACAAGCATTCTGCTTTATTCTACTGTTGTCATCTCAGTGTACCCTAAATCTAGGAGGTCTTCCTTGATTTCATCTTGGAGTTAAGATATTTTTCCTAACTGTGGACATGGTTCTTTTCTGATTGGCATAGAAAGTTGTTAGGCTTGAAGAAAAATCTTTCCCTTACTTCCAGCTTCCAGCCCCTTATGTATTTGCATTTCTTTACAATGCAGTTAGTTTTGAAGTAGAGGATTTGTAGCTACAATTCAATCACCTGCAGATCAAATATTAACTGCTAATGTTTACATTTCACTGTTAATTCATAGCAGTTGAGACGTAAATATGTTTTGTGAAGTACTCTGGCATTTGATATCTGTGTGCAGTTTCGCTGTCATAATTTCTGTTTAGCTTAATCTAGCGGTATATATGATAAAATGCAAGTGCAATTTTTTATGCTACATTTTTTTTCTGTTAAAAAACCTATAGCCAAAAATGAGGAGGAATTCATAATAGCTTGATTTTTAGATATAGACGTATGTTTAAATTTTTAGCAATTGAGTGTGTCTTACTTTTAATGAAGAAGGACATTAACTGTAATGATTTTGTTTCTTTTACAGAAGGGCAATTAAGACACATTAAAACTGGGGAGCCATTTGTTTTTAATTATCGTGAAGATTTGCATAGGTGGAACCAAAAGCGCTATGAAGCCCTTGGAGAGGTACATAATTTGTGTGTGTGCATGCATGTATATGTATCTCTGTGTGTAGCATTTAAATATATGGACACATTTAATATGTGTGTGTATGTTTGTGTATATGTGTACATATACATATATGTGGATGTATATATGTGTGTATGTGTTCATGTGCTATGGGTTTTGTTCTACCTGTTTCTCTGTAGAAGTGATATTTTTGCATACATTAATAAAATTTTAGTGTGGTTCCAGTCATTTAATAGAAAGTATTTCAGGATTTACTGCATATTAATGCTCTAACAGTAATTTCTATTGTTTGCTGTATAGCTTAGGGTGTGATTTAGGTTACTGTTTGACTTTAGTATATCTTCATAATAGAATATAATCTACCTACATAAGTCAGAATATTATACAGTGCAGTATTTTTTTTAACCTTAGTCACTTCATGGATTACAAAGCTGTGACAATTTTCTTTTTGGCTGAAGATAAATGCATTGGTTGATTTTTTCATGTTACCAGGAGATAACAGAAAACACTAAATAAAACAGAAATCTGAAGAATGAATTGGTTATCTGTTAGTGTATTACATATTTGGATGCTATTGGTACTTCGTAGGTGGTTCTGCCCCCCATAGCTACCTGCTCACTCCTCACTGTGGAACAGGGGAGAGAATCAGAAGGGTAGAAGTGAAAAATTCACAGGCTGAGTTACAGTTTAATAGGTAAAGTAAAAGCTGTGCACACAAGCTGTGCACACAATAAGAAATCAATTCACTTTACATCAGCAGGCAGATGTATAGCCATCTGCAGCAAATCAGGGCCTGTTCGTGCATAATGGTGCCTTAGGAAGAAAAGTGCCTTATCCATACAATCCCGGAATGGGTTTGGGTTGAAAGGGACCTTAAATATCATCTAGTTCCCATAGGCAGGGACACCTTCTACTACGTGAGGTTACTTGAAGCCCTGACCTTGAAGGCTGATAGGGATGGGGCATCCCCACCTTCTCTGGGCAAAGTCTTCCAGTGCCTCACCACCCTCACAGTCAAGAATTTCTTCCTAACATCAAACCTGCTTTTGCTAGGTTTGAAGCTATTGCCCTTTGTCCTATCACTCCATGTTCTTGTCAGTAGTCCCTCTCCAGCTCTCTTGTAGCCCCTTTACTGGAAGCTGCTGTAATGTCTCCCTGGAAATGTCTATTCTCTGGATTGAGCAACCCAAACTCACTCAGCCTGTGCTCATAGGAGAGGTGCACCAGCCCTCTGGGGGTGCTCTGTGCTTGCTTGCTCAGCCGCTGTTTCATTTGTGTGTCAGCCTGGATTCGCTGCTGGAGCTGCTCAGCTGTTTGTCCTGCCAGAGCTTTGTTACCAGGAATTTATGAAGCTTGCTTTTTACCTTCTCCTCTTCATTCCTGCAAAGAACTGTGGCAGTGAGTAGAAAGTGAATGGGACTATTGCAGTTGCTTCTCACATCTTTTCACTTTGTGTACTTTTCTAAAAAAAGGGATAGTGCTGTGTCTTGATACACATTTCTTCTGAGAGGAAATACTGTTGCATGGCCTGTATGTATGGATGTTTGTGTGTGTCTACATTGTTCAAATATTCCCATTTTCCAAATAAGTGAGTTGGACAGGACATGACTAAAGATCAGCATGGGCCTCCTGTGCCACCACACTTTCCTGTGCATATTTGGAAATACACAGCAAATTTCACATTCTGTGCATCTGAAAAATGTGTGTAAATATCTTCAACACACAGGTATGAAAAACTTTTTGTGATTTTTTGGTGTACTTGTTCTGGGACCAGGGATCTTATATCTGTGATCTGTCTTGTGTGTTTTGCCTTAGTTATAGTCATTCTCCATGTTCCAGTTTGAATGATCTTTGAAAATTCACTTTGTTTATATTGGTAGATAAAGGACAAGGAAGGCTTAAGGTCAGGTATCTGACAGAGAATTGTTTTAAGTTGTCTGTTTTGTTTTTTTAGAGAAAAAAAAAAAACAACCTCATTTGTGTTTCAGTTTTTTTCTATTAGGTGCTCGGTACACATAATTGTTCCCACAAGCCCCAAATTTATAGATGTTCCATTGTCTGCTTTTGATGTAGTTATTTGGGAACACAGGAGATGCTGATCCTTGGCATTTATTCACATAACTAAAATCTCGTTTTTTGTCCTAAATTAGTGAGTCACTGATGCAAACATGGAATAATACTGGAGTGGTATATCATCCTCTGATAATCTGTTTTGTAGTCTAAGGTAAAGATGTGTTTAGCAAACTGTGGTAGCTTAAGAAGCAGTCACTCAAATGATATGTAAAATGATGTAGTAAAATCTGGCCTTAGGCCTTTGCTTTGAAACATTATCCTTTGGTTGTAGGAGTTCTTTAATGTGCATTTAGGATTCAGTTATGTAGCTTGTCATCCAGTGAGATGATGAAGTAGCTATATTTGTATCACTGAACAAAATTGTTTTATGTGTTCGGTGTTTCCATTGTTAGCTCAGTCATTGCTTGCTGGTTTTCTGATTTTTAAAGGATATATACATCCTGAACAAAACCACTTTTTTACTGTGCATATACATATATATATATTAAAACCAGTAATATATATATGTGTATGTATGTATGTTGTGGGGTGTTTTTAATGTGTTTTACTGATTTTAAGAGGTGAGTGTACTCCCTGGCCTTATAGTACCAGCATCATTCTCCTTTTCTTGGAGCATTAATTTCAGTTTGGTTCTCCATGGGGTTTTTTTTTGCTAATAAAAGTCATGAAGATACTGTCTGTGATGTTCTGCCATTTTTCTGATTGTGTGGAAATGGGTTCTTCAAAAATCAAAGTGGTTTGCCTACATCTCCTCTCCTTACATCTTTTTATTGTTCATTCACTGATCAGTTATTTCAGGCACACAATTTTTTTCTGCAGCTTTTTGATATGTGTTGTTAATAGATAATTTAGTGAACTGTTAATAATTTTGTGATTCTGGTTCAGTCGTTGCTATTTTGTAGAGAGCATCTCTATTTGCTTTTTAAAAATTAAAATGGCAGCAGAAGTGCATAGAACATAGTGTTGCAGCTGCTTTGAACTGATGATTAATCCATGTGGCAAATTTTAAGTATGATTGAGAAAAATTTTGACAACAGCTTAATTGTTGCAGACTTTAAGTGACTTTCTACTTTTATACTCATGTAGTATCCAGAGTATCCCTAGCATCAGAAGGTGGTTATTTTCTGTTGCTTTGCATGTATCTTACAGCCTAAAGGCAGTTATAATTTGTTGATTACTTGGACGCCATTGAACACTGGCATTAAAATTTTTGAGAGTGCCTTCACTGATGAAGATACTTTTACCTGTACTGACAGCTTACTTTTCTACCAATGTCTTGGAAAAGCCAAAGAGGATTTGTAAATATGTAGATTATAATGTGGACCATGACATAAATATCTCTGCTGTGATCCTATTCAAGTTAATGCCATGTCTTGTAATTGCAACCTTTCTGACTGCAAAAGTCTGTAGGCAGGTAGGAAAATAATTAAGATGGTTTTTTGCAGTCACCATTGTATAATGTTTTGTATTTATGTAGAACAGATATGTAAAGCAAAGAAATTGAACATTTAAAGCAGAAATTCCTGGTGTCATGTGTGATAAGATAACAGTTAATTTTATGTCATCAGAGAAGTCTTATGCCACTAGAAAAACTGCTTTAAAGTATGTTCACAAGTGTTAGATCCAGCTTATCACAAAGTAGATTGCCATCAAGGTTAATATTTGAGTAGTATGTGTGGCATAACTATGTAAAATTATGACCTTGACAACCCATAATTCAGATGGCTAAGAGTAAAATTGGATTTTTATTTCCAGATCTCCTTTAAGTTAAAGAACAGCTTGGTCTCAACATGATTTAAAAAATAAGCGTTCACCTGCTACTAATTTCCTCCTTGGTTGCAAAGATCATTATATGTTTTGATGACTGAGAGGCTATTTACATAGCACAAATGAAAGCATAGAGCAGCAGAAGAGGACATGTAAGTTAATGAAGAAGGAAGCATTAAGTAGTCTGCATTTGAAAGGGTAGCTTCTTGTATGAATAACCCAAAATCTGATGATAGGCTGCACGTGCACCTGATAGTACTTAAGGTCCAATCTTGCAGCCAAAGCTCATGTGAATAAGCTCAATAGGTCTGATCTTGTGAATAAGGGCTGCAGGATCAAGTTTCAAATAAAATGTGCAGATTATTAGTAGAAATCCTTGCACTCTTAGTTTCAGTTTCTTTGCAGTTTATCACTGAACATTCCAATTTTTTCTCTGGCTAGCAATGCTTTAGTATAATATAAAGTACATGCTTCACAATATGGATCAAGGAAAATTGCTTGTGTACCTAGATTTCTTAAAATTTCTTACAGATTTCTTATTTGCTGTTGGTTATTTAGTGTTTAGAAAAACTCTTAATGAGTCAACAAAATAAATTTATAGTGATGTAACATATTGTTGGATTCCTGAACATTTGCCTTTATGGAATGCCTGCTTGGCTTGGGCTATTGAAGGGGTTTTTCTGTTCAGATATGAGATACCAAATACTTAACAGGTGGAGCATGTGTGAATTGATTTTTTTCAGTGTCTTGTATTACAGCCAAATAAGGGTGAACTTCCATGGAGATAGCAAAAAGGCTCACTAAAACTCCTGTTTCACAGGGAGAGTGAAAGCATCTAATTCAAATATCTCCCGTCCTTATTTTTGAAAATGGTTAATTTCTGTTTTGTGTCATCTCCTTTGATAGTGCTGTTTCTCTGCAGGTTATGCCCAATTTTGGTGGTTTAGGAGTGGTACTCTCCAGTTCAGTGGTTCCACTGAGACGCTCCAAACTGTGTGCTGTTCCCTTCCTTCCCCCTCTCTCTCTTCCTCTGTGATAGAATGGAGGGAGTTGGGAGCCAAAAAAGTAAATATGATGGGTTGACATAAAAACAATTTGCTGGAAAGAGCAGTGAGATAAGAAAACTAGCAGAAACAGCAAAAATATTAATAGCAAGA